GAAGGTAAGTGCTTTTCTTCTCTTGGGGTCAGGGGATAATTACTAATGAATCGGAAATCCATCAAAGAAAGGGGAAGCCAGAGGATGGACATTAAATTTCTCCATTTGGGAATGGTTTCTAGTTCTCAAAGGGGCTTCCTGAAAAGGGGTGGCCAGTGGGCACTGTGGATGGCGGTCACTTCTCAGAGGATTCTGTGAGTTGTAACTGTGACTCTTGATGAGTTTGACAGGCTTTCACTGGGGAATAAAAACTGGGTCAGATCTACTAAGATTTGTGTTTAGGGACGATGGCTAATGAGTCTTTTCAGGTTTCTCTGTAGGTTTAAAATTGTCTCTCAAGAAAAGAGAGGTGTACAAATGTCATGCATGAAACTGCAGGCAGGAAGACTTGGAAGCTGGCAGAGGTCATCTGGTTCATTGGCCTTATTATACAACTGAGGAAAGCTGCCCACAGAGTCATGGTTATCACCTACCAGAGCTAATGTCAGCAGCCTGAAGGGAAAAGAGTCAGGACAAGTGCTCTCTCCTAGCCTTCCTGGAGGAAGTCCTGATTTCAAAGCACAATTAGGCTCAGATTGATCTGGAAGACATAAATCAAGGCTGTGGCTTTGAGAGAAGAGTCCTAGGCACTTGACAATTCAGCCTGCGAGTTCCATGATGTCATGCCCTGATAGACTTTTGGGCACGCATTTGGGCATAATGCTATGTTCTGGAGTTTCCGTTACTGGTGTTCACTATGCCTTTTTTTTATGATAATATTCTTATGAATTGACAGTGTGACAAAGATGATCCCCCAGAATAACCACTTTTTATTTTAGAATGACTAATCTTTCTGAAAGGTGGGCAGCTAACAGAAGTGGCTTGGTTTTATGAACATGGAACAAACAGCTTCTTCCCATGTTCTCTGATTTTGTAGCAAGCAAGACACATCCGTTCCTTGTCCATCTGGTGGATTCTCATCCAGAGAACTCACTTTTCAAGGGGAAACTTTGTAATTGTTTTAACAATCAGTCCAAGGCAATTTTTAGAAATATAGGTGGCAACCCTGTATCACTAGTCTCAGAAATCCCAAGTACCAATCTTATGACTGATTATTACAGCTGTTGTTGCAACAGTGAAGTTTTACAATGCATAGCATTTAATCTTTAGAAGGCAGGTCTCATACCTTGATTTTCACTGGCAACAGTGCAGGAAGGAATGTTATCTCCATTTTCCTATGAAACAATTTCAGCTCAGAAGCTTATGAAACCTACTCTGATTTCCTCAGATTGTGAATGACAGAGAGGAGCTTGGTCTCTTTGAACTTCAGGTTCATGCTCTTTGAACCACAGGTAACATTTACTCTGAGTAAACCAGGGCATTCAGCCAACAGAGGTGATGCAAGACAGAATATTAGGGAAAGTAACAGAGAGCTAGAAAGGTGATGATAACAAAACGTTGTATATTAAGAATAGGAAGAATTCTCTTGCTTGTGCATAAATCATATTGTCTATATTAATAATTTATATAAAGTGCATGAAATTATTTCTAAAATTTAGGACTTGTTTTGTCATTGCATTATTTATACAATATAGGACTTTTCTCTAACTTAATTTCCATTCAACTTTTCTGTGTTGACTTCCAGCTTTGATACTAGGGCTCAGTGAGTGTTGTAAGTTTCATCTCATGGGAAGATCCTACAACATGTGCTAATGGGCCAAATCTCATCATTTCCCTGTTGCTAGATACATATCAGTCAAGGGTTCAGATTCCAAGTTTCATAGCTTTCATGATTATCTTAGAAAAGTAGTTGTTGTTACTGTGTCACAGAAAGACCCTAGTTGAGAATGGCTTGGAATGTCCTCTTGCTTTCTATAGTCATCTTGTCAAAAGAAACAAGGAAATTATTCATTAAAATAAGCTGTAATAATTGAAATTGGTACCTGACTTTTTTTTAATGTAGAAAAACTGGGGTGTAAGTCAGAGGTGCAGGGTGTGAGAGCATTCACCAGAAGACCGTTTGGGGAGCAGAACAGGTGTATCCCCTGAAATCCACTGCTGAGGGGTTCAGTAGTTGGGACAGGAGAGGTCTGCTGTGCCATGAGGGTCAGCTCCTTCGCCAGGGATCTAACTCAGGGGTGATAGTGCTGAGACATATTCAACACTTAGGTGGCCAAGAAGTCTCTGAAATTGGTATATGAAATGTAATAATTAAGTGGGGATGTAAAACGACAGAATAGTTCCACTAGTGAGAAAAAGTAGTTTATTTTAAGAAATATTCAAAAGTTGGTTTGAAAATATATTCATCAACAGATTTCCTTCTGAAATAAGTAATTAAAATCCAATTTTATGTTATTTGAAATCCCCTCTAGAATATTTCAAAATAAAGCTACCCCATTGTGATTCTCAATTGTGCTTAAAATATAAACCTAAAAGCTTAATAGTGTTAACATGGAGAAAAAACAGGAATCAGTGCAATAGAGGACCGACTGCTGGCTTGTAAACCTTTCAATGTGGGGCAAATTTTCAAGCTTGATGCACACCCGTTTTCTCATCAATGTACTGAACAGCTGGGCCAGAAGATCCCAGTTGAGACTTTTCATCTTGGAATTTAGTGTTTACATGATCTACAGTAAAAGCTTGCCTTGACCATGTCTTGAGATCTTACATAACAAGGGAAATCAAATAGATAAAGGTCCAAACTCCAGGTAAATCAGCTGTCCAATCCAGTTTGTTTCAGGTAGGGTTTGATGATAGAGGGGACTGAACTTTTGATTATCACCCAGACATTAGCAAGACTTGAAAACCTTCCAAGGCAGAACAAAAAGTCAACATGTTCTTGGTGTTGACCATCCCATGTTATCAAGTGGGCATCTACATGGGCCCATTGTAAACAAAACAGGAATGTTTTAAAAGGTTTATTTATTTGTGCATACAGAACTGGGGTACAGGCCAGAGGTGCAGGGGCAGTGAGAGGATTCACCAGAGACACAGTGGGGAACAGAACAGGCAGATTTGACAAAGTACCCCACTGAGGGGAGCAGCGGGCAAAACAGGAGAGGTCTGCTGTGTCCTGTGGGTCACCTCCCTGGCCTGGGATCGAACTCGTGCTACAGTGGCTGCGGCTAGCTTCATAGTGCTGTGCTTTAACTAGTTGTGCCACCAGAGAGGGACAAAGCCAGAAAAACTTAAAGCACAGCTGAGGATAGCTTATTCTTAGATTTTTAGACATCTTTGGATCAGAAAGCTATCTTAATGATGCTAATGAAACCTAATTATGGTTCTTTAAAAAATACGTAGCTCCCTCTGAAAATAAAATGTGCATGTACTAGTTGTAAAAAGAATCATTTGGGGCCCTCCCTGGTGGCACAGCGGGTTAAAGCACCGCACTGAGAATCTAAAAGCCACTTCCTCATGAGTTCGATTCCCGCCTGCCCCGGAGGTGACCACATGGCGTGGCAGACATCTCCTGACCCGCCCGCTGCTCCCCTCAGCAGTGTGCTTCCTCTGTTCTGCTCCCCACTCTGTCTCTGGTGAATCCTCTCACCCTCCACATCTCTGGCCTGTACCCCAGTTCTATATGAATAAATAAATAAATCTTTAAAAAAATAAAAAAAAAAAGAATCATTTGGGACACAGAGAAAATCATAAAGAACAATGATTGGGTGATCATCGTGTTTTGTAACTGCAATAAGCCATGGCTGGCATTTATATGATTGTTTCTCCTCCCACTGATGTCACATAGCAATGCAGGTCGGGCCCCTGCTGTATCTAGGGTAGAAATATTTCCATAATGTCATTCAGCATCTTTGAAAACATTAGGTAAATTGAGTCTTTCAAAAGAATCTAGCAAAACTGACTCACCAAATCCTTATTGTTAGGCTAACTTGACTCCAGTATTTTGCTATAATAACTAATATGCAAACAGTATTTTATACTCAATTCTTCATGTGTATTTTCCCTATGATCCTCGAAGCTAAGGTCATAGATCATGAACATCCTTACTGGTGAGGATAAATCAGGTGTAGTAAGTCTGGTTAAACTCAGGTTCAGAAAGAGTATAAAGCTTTGAACGACAAATACAATCATAGCACAGAAGTTTGCAAAGTCGTGAGCCCTTTAGTTGAGGAATGGTCACAATATTGACAATATTTTTAAGGCGAGGATTATTTCCAAAAGAAAGAGATGTATGTATTCCCAAAAGGAGTTTGTATACAGGTGGAAATAGCAAATTAAACATTCCCTGCTGAATTCTCCTTACCTGTCAAAACAGAAAGATTGATTTGTAATTGTTATGGAAAGTCTCCATTCAATATAACTTTGCAAACCAAACTTTTCAATCCAATAAAGTGTCCAAATTGTATGTAGCAACAAGAATAAGCATGTTACTCCTTTAAATGTTTTATATGTAAAATGCATACAAGTTATGCAATGTTGTCCTGTGTGTTCAAAAGAAGACCTCATGGGCCATTGCTCTGAATTACAGAGGCACAGAAACACCATCACAATAAAAGCAAGGGCTTCCCTGAGGCTGTTCTCAGTTCTTGAGGTTAATTTCATTGTTGTGCCTTCTAATAAGATATAACTATAATATTGCTTACCTTTTCATTCTCCTCTATGGTTTAATAAAACACTTTCAATTTTCTCATTTGATTCTTACAACACCGCCCAGAAAGGAGCATTATCTGGTGAATGGACAAGGAAATGGATAGTTAAAGAATTTAAATGATGAGATCTGAGTAATGGAGCTGGGACTTAAAGCCAGATTTCTTATCAAAATCTAGCCCCCTGCAAGCATAGCTATAAAGAAGTGTACTGTGAAAAGTGAATCACCTAGCTGTGTTGGGTCAACCCTTTTATTGATCTTGAAAGGAGGCAACATCAACACGAGAAAATTCTTTGTGTGTTATGTTTTGGAATTGTGCTTTCTCCCCACAGATAAAAGCCTGTCGTGGTAAAAGAGATTCAGGGCAGAGGGAAACTCCACCACAAGGTGCGATACCATTCCCCAGAAAAGCCAAATGGACAAGAAGCCTTCCGCCAGGAAAGGTAAAGCCAACTCTTTTAACTGGTCTCCTGATGGAAGAGTAGAAACTCATTTCAGGGTTCTCTCCACCCCTTGCTCCCAAGCTGCTCCGTTGGAGGGACTCCTTCAGTGTAATATCTGCCCAGCTCCAGCCTCTCAACCAGCTACTTGAGTATTTTCCTTCAGGGGCCCTGTCCTTTGAGGTCACTAATACTACTCCTGAGTCTATTTGGTTTGAAAACAATTTCTTTAAAGATATTTTAATCTATTTCTTCCCAGGTTCTGTTTCTCTTTAGTCCTCGTTCTCCAAATACGCAGAAAAAATTTAATCCCTTATTCACATGGAACTCTTCAGTACTGGTTCAACGTTCTGTTTTCTGAAATATGTTGCCTTGTGAGATACTAGATACTCCTTCAGTAGCACATTATCTACAAACTCAGTAAAAATTATTCTCCATGTGTTTTTTTATTATAATAGTTTATTTTTACATCATTTTGTGGCGTTTTCCATCTCAGGTGTAATCCCTGTGGACTTGCCATCAGTTCACCTGTGTGCCATCACCATAATCCTGTACACTTCCCCCTGTCCCCATTTTTCATCCCATTCCCCACTCCATCACTGTAAAATGTCTCTGGTATATAGTTGTTCATCATTATTATTCCCCCCCATGATCCTTTATGCTCCTGCTATGAGTGAAACCATTCAGTATTTTTCTTTTTTCTTTCTGACTTATTTCACTAAGAATGATCCCTTCCAGCTCCATCCGTGTTGCTGCAAAAGGCATGAGCTTATCATTTTTTGATTGCTGAGTAATATTCCACTGTGTATATGTACTGCATCTTTTTTTTTTTTTAAGATTTATTTATTTATGCTTACAGAACTGGGGTACAGGCCAGAGGGTTGGTGGGTGAGAGGATTCACCAGAGACATAGTGCGGAGCAGAACAGGCAGATCTACTGAAATACACTGCTGAGGGGAGCAGTGGGTGGGTCAGGAGAGGTCTGCCACACCAGTGGGTCAGCTCCTTGGTAGGGGATCAAACTTATATTGCAGTGGCTTCCAAGAGCTTCATAATGTAGTGCCTTTAACCCGTTGTGCCATTGTGCCACCAGGGAGAGCCCGTGTACTGCATCTTTTTAATCCAGACATCTACTTTTGGCCATCTGGGTTGATTCCATGTCTTTCCCATTATAAATAAAGCAGCAATAAACATCTCCATGTATTTTTAAAAAGCTGTACAAATATGAAGTCCAGGGCTAGTGACATTCAGCAAAGATATGTATGGACATTTCCCTAAAGAGTTAGTGGGATTTTAATGTACATACAGCACACTTTCATATACTTTAAGAGTCCTTGGATGTTCCACTAATTAAATTCAAAGGCAGCTCTCTTTCAAGCTTCATGGTAAATGAACATGTATGACAGATGGAACCAGGGACTTTCAGCTGAGAGTTTGGTTTTGTGAGTGACTTTGCCACCATCTTCCCTATTCACTTTATTTTGGAGCAATATGACACTTATGACTTCATTTAGGATTTCCTGTTTTTGTCTTTGACTTCCCACCTCTCTGAAAGAAGACCATTTTTTCCTTTATTGGAAGATCCCATACTTATTGTCTTGAAGTTAACTGAAGAATATGATTTGCAGTCATAGATTCTTTGATGAAAAAGACAAAAATAAGTCAAGAAAAAGACAAATACCACATAATTTCACTCATGTGGGTATAGAGAAACAAAATAAAGAAACAGACAAAACTGGCCCTCCCTGGTGGTTCAGTGGGTTAAAGCACAGCACTAAGAAGCTAAAGCCACTACTGCATGAGTTTGAATCCCACCTGCCCCAGAGGAGATCCACATGGCGAGGCAGACCTCTCCTGGCCCACCCGCTGCTCCCCTCAACCTGTTGCTCTGCCTGTTCTGCTCCCCTCTCTGTTTCTGGTGAATCCTCTCACCCTCCACATCTCTGGCCTGTACCACAGTTCCATATGAATAAACAAATAAATCTTTTTTTTTTTTAAAAGAAACAGACAAAACCAAACCAGACTAATCCTAGATCTAACTGCAGAATTGATGTTCCTGGAAGGGAAGGATGAGGGAATGGGGAGGGAGGAGGAAGGAAACCCAGTGGACTATGGTAGAGGATCATGGTTGGTTTTTTGTGGGTGTGGTGTGGTACATACATCTGAACAGATATGATCCTATACCACCTAAATCATATGCAGCACTGTTGACCAATATTACCTCATTTAAAAAAAAAACAATTTAAAAGATAAAAAATAAAATGAACAAAAGAAGAAAAGGGAAGGAAGAAGGGCGGAAGGGAAGGAAGGAGAGAATGAAAGGGGAAAAAACAATCTTTTAAAGAACAAAATGCAGTGGGCTTCCAAGGTTTTTCAGATTCCCTTTGGGAGGAATGAAAGATGGCGGTCACATATTTACAGATTTCTTTGTTGTTTTGCAGGTCCAAATTTCTGTTCATTACGCTATGGCCTGGCGCTCATCATGCACTTCTCCAATTTCACTATGATAACCCAGAGAGTGAGTCTGAGCATTGCCATTATTGCCATGGTGAACAGCACTGAGCAGCATGGTCTACCCAATGCCTCCTCCACAGAAGAGCCTTTTGTAGACACTTTCAACAACCCCAGCAGACCCATCAAGAAATTCAATAATGGGGTAAGTGTGATGGAGAACAGGACTCACAGATGAGAGAGAAAACCCATCTTGAGACAAAACCTAGGCTCCTGAGTCTGTGGAATACAGAAGCATACATTTTCAGTGACAGGCTAAAAAGGGAATTGTTTTTCTTTGAATTCTTATTTATCTCTGTATAAAATTGATATTTCATTTGAGATTATTCTGATCACAAGGTGGCGGTCTGCAAGAAAAGTCTATAAAGACTTCAAAATAGAACTAGCTAATTACTGGGAATCATTAGTGAAAAACTAGGCATTTTCCAAACTCATTCTCTGTTGAATTCTGTGTAAATCTCTGCAATTTTGTCTCTGAACCATTTTATAACTCTCTAAGTTCGCTATAACAAATAGTAATGCAAATGATACTTCCTCATACCTCTGAAAGCGAATGTTGCCCTGTTGAAAATTAGTTGAGTTTCTACTTGTCCTGGTCGAATAGACCAATTTTACTATCTATTGAAAATCTGTTTCTGCATTCCTTCCTGCTAATATGGGTTGTTCTTTGAATTCTCTTCTGAAAAGGTTGTCACAGGTACCAATTTCTTCATTAGTCAATGAGGTCAATAAAATCTTTGCTGTGTGTTTATGTTATATTCCCAAAATTGATTTTAGGGCTTGAGCTTGGTAAAAGTTCAGTAAAGTCTTATTCTTTGAAATGAGAGTCAACATGTCACCCCAACTTTGCCATAAGCAAAATGGCTTAAAGATTCTCTTTCACAGATATTTCTTAGTGTCTCTGATTATCTGTATGGTATGACTACCTTTTATAATTATAATAAAGATATCGCGCTATCTTTCCTTTTATTTTCACCTCATCTCAATATCTCCTGCAAATTTACAGATATATCTATATAATTATTTTGTTGTTGTTTCTTCATTTCCTCTCTACTTCTTCCTCTAAATGAAGCCAAGTTAAACTACAATTGGTTGTTTGGGAAGGGGTAATATTTACATTAGATGAAAACCAGAGAAAAACCAAAGTGACTATTTAATAGTTGGCTCCCACCAACCTCTGGCTATAAAGTTGACTTTTGTAGAGGAACTTCTGAGCAAAGGATTTCACTTTTTTCCCCAGGCCTCTGTTTATGAATGGAGCCCAGAGACTCAGGGCATCATCTTTAGCTCCATCAGTTATGGGATAATACTGACTCTGATCCCGAGTGGATACTTAGCAGGAATATTTGGAGCAAAACAGATGCTGGGTGCTGGTTTGCTGATCTCCTCCATTCTCACCCTCCTCACACCCTTGGCTGCTGACTTTGGAGTGATCCTGGTGATTGTGATTAGGACAGTCCAGGGCATGGCTCAGGTATCCACAAGCATCCTTTCTTTCTTTTTTTTTTTACTTTAAATTTTATTTATGCATACAAAAACTGGGGTGCAGGCCAGAGGGGCAGGGGGTGAGAAGATTCACCAGAGACAGAGTGGGGAGTGGAAGAGGTGGATTTTGAAATACACTGCTGAGGGGAGCAGCTGATGAGACAGGAGAGGTCTGCTGTGCTATGTGGGTCAGCTTCCCGGAAGGGGATCGAAATTGTGTTATAGCTTAGTGGCTGTGGATAGCTTCATAGAGCTGAGATTTAACCCCTTGCACCACCAGGGAGGGCCCTCCTGTGCTTTGTTTTTCTGGGTTGATTATAGACTTCTGATTCTATTAGAGATCATCCGTCTTAATGTTTATCATTTCAGGGAATGGCATGGACAGGTCAGTTCACAATCTGGGCAAAATGGGCTCCCCCACTTGAACGAAGCAAGCTCACAAGCATTGCAGGATCAGGTAAGGAGGTATATAGGCATATGTATACAAATATATACACAACCATGGGTATTGAAATGTGGAATGTGCAACTTTAATATGGAATAATTCACACATATATCAATCATGTGTGCTTTAACATACATGTCACATGTAATCTATGTATATATAGCCCACATAATATATTATATATCCATATATAATAATAACTCATATATATATGGATTATAGCTTTGTCATCTGCTTCACCCCATTCATCCTACTGCTTGACTTATTTAAAAGTTGTATCATCAATTTTCATTTTCCCCTCATGCATACAATGCACACATTGTAGATTTGTTACCGTATTTATCTTCCATAGTTTTTGAATTTCAGATTCCAGATAGGGCACAGTGAAGGGCATCATAATAGTAATCTGTAATCTCTAATCTGCTTCATCCTACCTTATCTTTCCTTCTTTGCATGGGATGGTTTGTGGAAGAGGGAGATAAGTGGTCCCCAAAAGTCCAATGGATAACAGATCAGTAAGATACAGCTATGCTATGAAGCCACTGGATTCTGAAGCTGAAAACTTGAACTTGAGTAGCCAGAAAAACATTGGAGGAAAGGTTTAACACTTTGTGAATTTGCACATGTGGAAAAATCAAGTAAAATAGTAACCATTTCAGCAAAAATATAGAGGTAACATGAAAACTATCAGAATTCGGAGTAGTGAGAGAGAAACCAGGCTGGAAAGCTGACTTGAAAGAACTAATTATTCTGTGCTCTTGGTTCTGTGACCTGAGCTCATGCTCATGACCCTCTGATATAAGCCCTATTTTAAACTCTCATTTTACAAAAGAGGATGTATTTATAAAGGGAAATGCGTGTAGTAGTGAAGTAAATTACTCACATGCAAACAGTTGGCAGGCGGTAGAAGTAAAACTGAGCCTCAGAGGACACTCTCTCAGCACCGTGCTGGACAGTCTCTCCACAACTGTGATCACTCTGAAGACTCAATAACTTATTGCTGCGCACCCCAGCCTTGGAGTGAATCCTTGAAGAAAAGAACGGGGGGGGGGGGGTCCATCAGGTCTACACTTCCAGATTCAGTGCATGGTGTGTCTTGCAGATATTTTCCTCCAGAGCTACCCTTCCTGGTCTGGCTCCATCCACTGCAATTGTCATCACCACCCTTTCTGCAGATGCCCTCAGCTGGTCTTCCCTCTCCTCCAACTTTGTTTCCTCCAAACTTTTCTTCCAGCAAAGCCAAGTTATCTCTGTAACGCCCAGATAAAGCCTTTTTGCTCATCTGTTTGGGCATCTGCAATGCTCCTTCATGAATACAGAGAAAGCCAGGCCTTACTGGGACAGATTTCTGCTGTGTGGACCAACCTGCTTTTATGCTCAGCCTCCCTCTGGCAGAAAGTCCCGACTTTACTTCCTCCAGCTCTGTTTCCTGGAAGGTACCCTGAACCCAGCTTCTCCTGCCAAAATTCCATCCATCCTATTGCTTGGCTCATGTAAACCATTCGTAAATCTTTTAATTTAAAATTTTACCCTCATGTATACTTTCTAGCACATTGTAGTCTCATTGTGATATTCATTTTTCATACTCTTTCCCCAAGTTACAGATTGGAACATAATGAGGGGCTCATAATGTCAATTTAGTGGGTCAAAATCAGTATTTTACAAATGAATATGAATAGGATAAAACAACTGGATGGGATAGGATAGGGTAGGACAAGACAGGATAGAACAGAATGAAGTGCACCTCTCCTGGTATGGAGGATGGATTGTGTAATGCCATGTTAAATGCATTCTTATGTGAGTCTCTGAAAATATGTCAGATTTCAGGGTCTTATTATATTATAACTGTAATAATGAATTTTTTTCACCCTTTCTCTCCAACTGGACAGGAAGGCCCTTGAGGACAAGGGCTGTAAGTTATTAGTTTTTTGTACAATTTTCTTTTCTGTCTCCCACCTCATGTTGCCTCCTGCCAGGATGTAACTCTAAGTATCAGGACTGTGATTGCAGAGTGCCTATAACAAAGTTGGATTTGGTCACATTGGTGTGAAGGAGCCATTGAAGCATCATGTGGCACTTCATTCTTATTATTAATGCTCATGATTTTGCATGAATTTACTGGAGGACAGATGTGAAAGAGGAAAAAGACATACTGCCCAGTGACTCTAAGTTGGTTTCTCTCTGTTGCACAATGTCCAGGGAGGTTACTTAGTATCCAGCTGTGCATTTTTTTCTAAGTGTTTTTCTCTTCCTTTTCAGGGTCAGCCTTTGGATCCTTCACCATCCTCTGTGTGGGGGGACTAATCTCACAGGCCTTGGGCTGGCCGTTTATCTTCTACATCTTTGGTGAGTCACTTTCTCTTAAATCCTGACACCCCCATTTCCCAGGCATTTATTTTGATGTCCATCACCCATCCTCCACATTCTTCCCATATGAGAGAAAAATATACTGTCCCATGGGAGATGATGGAGAGTGAGCATGTAGAATGAGGGTTCAGAGCCTCCTTAATCTAGCTCATGAGGTGACTGTATACACCACACTCACTTCTTGGAATTAGGGTGCAGCCTTACCCTTCCACCCCAGGGATCTTCTGTAGAATCTCTACCACTGCATCTGAAATGTCAGTTCTAATTGCTGTATATATTTAAGATGTCCAAATTAATGTTGTACACTATTAATATGTTTTCTTATTTCTTTAAATTGACTATTTCTGCTAAGAATCCTTGAGCCTATTCTCTACCAGGTAAATCTTGCAAAGCCCAATTTGAATGTGTCCTTCTCCATAGGGACTTCTGGGACTTAATCCCTTCTATGTTCTATGATGCGTGTGTATCTGTCTTCTCTGGACTATGCTGGTGTGTCATTATTTACTTCCCTTTCTCCAGCTCCACTGTAAAATGTCTGAGATAAGAAATTCACTCTATGGTTTTTTTTTTTCATTTTGGCACCATTATAATGTCCCTTTACAGTTTTATAGATTCATATATATATATGAGTATGTGTGTGTGTGTGTGTGTATATATGTATATGTATTCATTCACAGAGATGAATGAATGGATGGATGAATCCATAATAGGTCCACTTATGCACATGCTCTCTCTGGAGCTGTTCTATATTGGACAAGTGGTAACTGCAGAACTTAAGTTAGAAGGAGATTTGCAGAGAAATTAGAATGAAATATCAACATTTAGGTTCTTATGGTGAAATGTCTGTCAATAAATATGTTTTTGGCTCTCCCTGATGGCTCACTGTGTTAAAGCAGCTGCTTTGGCCCGAGTTCCACTCCCTCCAGGACACTGGCCCATATGGCACAGCAGACCTCTCCTGTCCCTCCACTGCTCCCCTCAGCAGTGTATTTCACTCCATCTGCCTATTCTACTCCCCGCTCTATTTTTGGTGAATCCTCACCCCAACCCTACACCTCTGCCCTGTATTCCAGTTCTGTATGCATAAATGTCTTTAAAAAATAATATTTTTTTTGGGGGGGTAGGTTTGCCACTTCAAAGGAAACCCCCATTATAAATCTTCCTAAAAACTAACTGGGTCCCGGTTTCCCAGGTAGCATTGGCTGTGTCTGCTGTCTCCTGTGGTTCACAGTAATCTATGATGACCCCGTGCATCACCCATGTATAAGTGTCAGGGAAAAGGAGCACATTGTATCCTCAGTGGCCCAGCAGGTACAGTACCCCCTCTCTCCCCTTGCAGAGGCTTCTGGGAAGGGTGTGGGCCTCCTGGGAAAGGCACGCTCTAACTTTTCCAGTACCAGTGTTAATTAGATGTTCCTTTCAAAAGCTGTGTTAATTAGATGTTTCCTTTCAGTCCAGTTCTCCCAGAAGATCTGTCCCCATAAAAGCAATGGTCAGATGCCTACCACTTTGGGCCATTTTCGCAGGGTTTTTCAGCCATTTCTGGTTATGCACCATAATTATAACATACCTACCGACGTACATCAGTTCTGTGCTCCATGTTAACATCAGAGATGTGAGTATGCTTCCGAATTCCTGTGAACATGATCATGACAATAAAGAGAATAAATCTATGTTGCCCACTACAGCGGTTTTACAGATAAACCTTCACTTAACCTTCACTGTGACCTCAATGGAGGGAGTGCAGTGATTCCCACTGCACAGGCATGGGGTTGAGGGACACAGAGAAGGGAGAGGACTGGACTATACAGGGCCTGGTGTAGTACCATGTCCGTCCCTAGCCACATAGGTGAGTCTGCAATTGCCCTTAAAAATTTATCACACTAGTGATAAAATGCACCAGTCTTCTTTCCTAAGCTAGCGTGCTCTCATGGAAAGGCGTGCTAACTCCCGACAACAACATAGAGTGTTAGGAGGGTGGATGACATGGCCGGTAATTGCTGGCACTCTCTATGGCTTCTGTACTCACTGTCCCAATTTCCTTCCTTCAGAGCGGGTTTCTGTCCTCCCTGCCTTTTATCACTGCCTCAACTTGTACGATTCTAGGAGGTCAGCTGGCAGATTTTCTTCTGTCCAGGAATCTCCTCAGACTGATCACTGTACGAAAGCTCTTCTCGTCCCTAGGTAAGGACAGGTGTTCGGGTTAACCAGGCCCTGCTCCACGTGTGCGCTGAGGTTGATGTCATGGTGTATCTTCCTTGCCCAGGGCTCCTGCTCCCCTCACTTTGTGCTGTGGCACTGCCCTTTGTGGCTTCCAGTTACGTGACAACCATTATTTTGCTGATACTTATTCCTGGGACCAGCAACCTGTGTGACTCAGGGTTCATCATCAACACCTTAGATGTAGCCCCCAGGTAACATCTTCACCTATTTACTCCCCTTTTCCAACCTGTTCCAGAGGTTCCAGGCTCCAGTTTTCTTGCAACTCCTTTCTGTTGTTGACATGCAGTAAATGATGGAGGGATAATGACGAATCTCTAGAAATGTCAGTATTTGGCTGTGACCTGAGGCATTTTTGGAACGATAGTTCCCAAACTTGGCTAGTAACCATTTAGATGAAAATCAGCCCAAGCCTCCACAGAGGAGACTGGAATATGTGTTCTGGGTCAGGCCCCACACACATGTGTTTTGGAGAAGGTTCATGGTACATATTAACTAGCACATATGAATGTGCTTGCCACAGGCCAGACTTATTTGAAGAACTTCTCACACATCAGCACATCAGTCTTCACAGCTACTTGAGATAGGTCCTACTGTTATCCTCAGTAGATGAGAAGACTGAAATACAAGAACATTAATGACATGCTTAAGTCACACAAAGGCGGAATTGGGATTTGTACCCAGGTAGTTTGTTCAGCAGCTGTTGTCCTGTCTACTGAACAAAGAACCCGCCGTATTTACAGGCAGGGGTGGGAATCTGGGCTCCTGGGACAAAATTGTCCCTTGGTTGTTGACTCAGCAGATTGACGATTGCAGAGTTGGCAAAGAGATGTCTGTAGGTGAATACACAACTTCATTATGCCAAATAAAAGTTTGCCTTATGAACTTTTGGAGTGGAACCGTATTAACATTGACTGGCTGAAAAATCATAGGCAGCTTTCTGCATAAACTCCTCTCTATAATCATTTCCCCACAGATATGCAAGTTTCCTCATGGGACTCTCAAGGGGATTTGGGCTCCTCGCAGGAATAATCTCTTCCACTGCCACTGGATTCCTTATCAGTCAGGTTGGGCCAATTTATTGAACATCTGTGAGCAGCAGGTATTCTTTTAGGCACTGGGGATGCACACAGGAGGAGCCTCTGATTCTGAGGACTGCATGGTTTGCTGGGGAAACAGGCATGGACGTCAACACAACACTCAAAGGGACTCTAAATCAGACTCTGGCGGGTCATTTCCCAGAGTAAGAAAAACCCAAGCTGTGTTCTAAAATTGAACAGATGTTATAGATTGATGAACATGAGTAGTTCATGACAACAGCATGGAGAATTTTCTAGGGTTAAAGAAGGCATAAAATGGAGTGGCTGGGGTGAATGAAAGCATGTGGAGGAATGGTGAGAGGAACAGAAGGGAGGTTTACTAAGTCTTTTCAAATGAATTCCAAGTCACCAAAGGAAAAAAAAATCACCAAGTAGAAATATCCCAAGGTACCCCAAAGTCTTTTTAAAGAGAGAAAGAATTATGGGTAAGCAGAGAGCGGCTGTGAGCCCCGTGTCACAGACTGGTTCATGGCTCTGGCCAGGGTTGGTTGGAAAGAAGAAAAGGCAAGCTCACTCTGGGATGGAGGGGTGACAACAGTCTGTTTATAAAAAAAAAATGTTGGTTTATTTTTACTACATCTTGGTGTGATCTAGTTTCTGGGTTAATTTTTGACCACATTGCTGGGAATCTGTTGGGCTCATAGTCAGAACTGAACAGGATGCAGGAGGCTTGGTGTGGAGGACCCTAGAAGCAGATTGAATGTAAGTGACATCCTGTTGGGGTGTCTCCTGAGGGGCTGTTGTGATTGATTTCAAGTCCCAACAAAATAAAGTAAGACAGAGAGAGCACAAGACTGCACTCTTAAAGTTGTCTTTTGAGGTGTCATTTTAAGTGAGCAATACCTTATTGTCAATGAATATTGAGATTAAAATTTCCAGCAGTGCATTAGTGTAAGTTAATTTATTTGTGTTTTAAAAAAATCCACTGCAGTCCAGAACCATATGTACATGTACATGCCTACCTTAGAGACACTTTCTTTCTAAGAGATTCATAAAACCTTTAATAACTTAAGATGTTAAATGACTATTGCTTATTGTCTTTTTATATTCTTTGTGGTAGAGAAGGAAAGTGAGACTGATAATTTGTGGTTTTTATTTTTTAATGCCTCCAGGATTCTGTTTCTGGATGGAGGAATGTCTTTTTCCTGTCTGCAGCTGTCAACATCCTTGGCCTGGTTTTTTACCTCACCTTTGGACAAGCAGAAATCCAGAGCTGGGCCAAGGAGAGGCCACTTACCCGCCTTTGAAGATAAAGATTTGCAAACTTATATGTAGGACTGGCCACTAACTTTTCAACCTTTTTTACTTACTGCCATTCTTCACACACTTCACCATGGACTCAGCAACTCTTAATTCTAGTTGTGTGTTAGATTCCCCTGGGGAGCCTAAAACATCTGATGAATGGGCCCTACCCCAAGGTTTCTGAGTGATTTGGTCTTTTATTAGACACTTGCCCGGGTTTCTAACACATGTCCAGGGTGGACATGTGTTGGAAAAGCTTGAAATGTCAATTCCTACTGCCTTTGAATTTTCCTCTTTTGAAAGTACTGAATGAATAAAAATCTATGTGAAAATAGTCACTGATAAGTACTTTCATGGGGATAATTATGGACATGGAGAAGATCTGCTGGGAACTGCAGCCATGTGTTTTAAAGCTCAGTGTGGACCAGAATTTTCAAGTTGTAATCCTTAGCTTTAACTAATCATTTGTATTGTTTTTCTACGTTGTGAAACATGGATGTTTATTTATGTGGTTAAATTCTATTAAAATTCCATGCTACAATGAAATAGCCCATTTCACATTATTTAGATTAGGATTACTTCCAGCAGGCAAAATAAATATTTACTTATCTTGGCTAAATTCCAACAGGTTAGTAACTAGGAAGTAACCCGGAAAGATGAAGTGAATGACGTTAACTCATTCAAAAGAGTGAAAAGGATGCAGGTGAAGGGAAGTGGTTGGAACGTGCAGCAGGGGCAATGAGATAATCTGACCTATATCATAAAAAATGGAGAGAAACAGCAAATGTACTTTCAAATGAGATGTTGATTGATATGAGGGAGAAGAATACTGAAGTTATAATAAGATGGAACAAAACAGAAAGATAACATATATCACGTATTAATCCTTTTTTTGGATTAAAAAAGAAGATCATCTGACTTCCAACTCTTCCTTTTTTCCCAAGGTTCTGCTAAATTGTCACCCACCCCAACATGGAACTAATTCTGGCTCCTAATGATGGAGGCAAGAATAGAAAATTTAAAGGGAGACATCATAAGGTTAACAGCTGACTCACACAAGGAGGTGGGGGCAGAAGGGATTAACATGACTAGTAGCCCAGCCATAGATATCAAGACCCTGAGGCTCTAGTGCCTCCTCATAGGCATAGGACCCACACAGGTATCAGACTGCTGTAGGAGTGTGGGAAGCATGGAACTGTAGGTAAAGATACAGAGATTGGACCTACATTGTGAACTCTCTGGTCCCGTTAGGATTCCACATAGTTATCCAAAATCAGCAGCAAACAGACCCCTCCACAAAGGAGTGAGCCCCTCCTCAGGAGAAAAGGGCTCTCTCAGGGAATTCTTTGCAGCAGAAGGGGCGGTAGTGCTGCCCACCTGTGCCCATGCAGGTGCTTCTTTCCACCCACCCTGTCCCTCAGCAGGGCAGCAGCCTCCTGCCTGTCCGTGACCTGTACCTGCCTAACTTCTCTGACTGACCTCCCTCAGGCCACTCTCCTCAGGCTGCCCCCTGCCACCACGCAGGCCTCTCTCAGCAAACTCGAACCTTTCCGGGCAGCTCTTCCTGCCCACTTGACTCCTCTGTCCTTTTCCCAAATAAACTGCTCTTTAAATATAACTGAGTTTCTGTCTCATGAAGAAACTCATCTGGGGAGTTCACCAGCTGAAAGGGGAGCTCTGGCGAAACCTTTCCCAAAGGGAACCCAAGGACCCCACACTCCAAACTCATCTCCAGAAACTACATCACTAATACTCCAAATGTATCCTTTAGGTTGTCTCTACACACACAGCTAATTTTTTTTGCTGCAAGTTTTATAGAATTCCACTGATTTAGAAGGCGAGCAGAACCATGGGGACCAGAAACATGTGCAAAGGTACCAGATGAAGTGAATCTTCCTTCAAGTGAAGAGCTATTTTTGAGGAGTTTTAGATGAAACAGATGGTCGTATGGGTGCTACTGAGGTGAGAAGACTGAATAGTTCCAATAGAGGAAGGAAGGAGAGTTTGTGGAAAACAGAAGGAAGAAAGAGAGGAGCAGTATAATGATCAGCAAATTAAGCTGGGGGTTGGGGTGGAGAGTGAGCTGAAAAAAATAGGAAAAGAAAAATGGGCATATGCCTTCCAGTGAAACCTCAAGAAGGAAAAATTCAAAATGACCTATAAGCATCGCATAAAGCGCTCAGCTTCATTAGATGTTAAAACAATGAAGATCAAAATCTCAATGAGACACCACGAGGCCCTTACCAGCTTGAATAAAATGAAAGAAGATGTAAAACAGCAAATGTTGGTTGGCCAGGGGAAGGCGCCATGGGAAATGTCACATAACTGAGTGGAGTATAAGCTCTGACAGTCAGCCCTAAAGCTATCCTTATAAAATGGGCATACACAAGCCTCAACAGAGGTAACCTAGAAGCAGTGTTCATGATTGCCCCCCAGGAAACAAACTGTCAAGAGAAGATGCATAAATAAATTAGGGTCTATTCATAGAACAATGAGTATAAACAGACCCCAATACCCAGCCCCAAAAATGGATCTCATAAATACAATGCTAAGTGCAAGAAAACAAATTTCTTTATTTTAAAACATTGACTTGAGTTTTAAACAATAAAAAAACGAATCTGTCCTATTAAAACTCAAGTTGCTTAAATTACGAGGCTCTGGGCCCTCTCTGGTGGTGCAAATGGGTTAAAGCACAGCACCGTGAGGCTCTCTGCAGCCCCTGCAGCATGAGTTGGATCCTGGCGCAGCAGACCCCTCCTGACCTGCCCACTGCTCCCCTCAGCAGAGGACTTCCTCCATCTGACTGTTCTGCTCCCCACTCTGGTGAATCCTCTCACTGCCTCCAGGCTGTAGCCCAGTTCTTGTATTCATAACACGAAATAAGTCTTTATAAAAAAAAAAAAGGACAGTTTTGGAAAAACACATCACATCTTAACATCACATTCTTTGACTTGGGCGTTAAACATGGACATCTTCACTTTTACATTTATGTGCTATACACACTAATGTATTACGTAAAAAGTAAAATTTCTACTGAAAACAAATTCACCGCCTTACCTATGACAAAGCTTTTCTTCTCTTTTTGGTTAGGTCTAAAGACTGGAACAACTGGGAAGGGATTTTGGTCTCTGCATCTATGTTCTTCCCGATCCTCCTTGACACACCCCCCTACATCAGAGGAGAAGGAGCAAACGGTTGTCAGCTTTGAATAAGTTTTTAAGTAGCAAGGCGTGTGTTGAGCTCAGGCTTCCCAAGAAACCATGTCTGCGTTCTCCCCTTTATTCTTTTAAACATTATGAAAGATGTTACTATTTCTTAATGTTAACTGATCCTTGATGATTCTTTTGCTATTCTACAGGATTTAATTCTCTGATGGTTTATTTAGGACTTGAGGTGCTGTATTGCCATGTTCTCTTGACTGAATTTATATCATGTCTGGATATAAGACCTATGCAGACTTCAGTAAAAGGAAGGGAAACTGCTTATTCTCCAGTATTGTGAAAAAGAAAAAAAAAGAACTAGAATGGCAACTTTATAATTGCTAGTATCAGCTGAAGTCTTCAAGCATTGATTTGTAGAACTACATAGTTTTCAAGGCACTTTGGGGAAAATTCTTTGATAACTTTCTCAGTTTTCTTCTTGATTATGGCCTTTTTAGGGTTTCTACAGTTTCTTCCATTAATTAATTTCCATTTTTTTGTTATCTTGGAGGGCCAGCCATTTAAACTGTTTTGCGAGAATACTTATATAGTTTATTAAATTATCTTTATATATTTGCCATCCCGTGTGTAAGCTTTGAGCCAGGGGCAGTGACCAGGAGCTGCTGGGTTAGTCGTCTTCCAGAACCGTGTCCTGCCCAACCTCCAGATGGCGCTACTACCCAAGAAAACCAAGGCGCACCATCGACTGACAGACAAACTCTTTCTATGTAATAAAGCAGGCAAGTGACCTGCTCTTTCAAGGAAAAAAGGAAGTGAAACTTTTAATAGTCATTCCAATTTTAGTGAAAACTGTAGACAGATAATGCATATTATTTCAGTAAAGTTTCTCTATTCCTTTCCTTTGTTATTTTCAGTCCCCCCTTTTCTCTGACGTCTCCCCCTCTTCTCTTGCCCCCCCCCCCAGCAGTATTCTCTAATAGCAATTCTCTAAAGCTTAGTTTAGTACTGGGGTTCCATGGAAGTTAGCATTTTGGGAAAGAAGGTTTACAGTATTACCTGTGCATCATTTTTGCTCATTTGGATTGTTTCATTTGCTGATAGGTAACAGTGAACTTGCCAATTGTCGAGTCATTGCTTTCTCCAAGACTAAGGTATGTGCTCTGACATCGTCTTTTGACATGATACGATTGAATTTTGCCCTTAAATATCTTAACAGAGATAATGCGTACATGTCAACTGGTTTAAAGTTTCACACGGTGGGCTCCAACTGGCTCAGCCAGAATTCCTGAGAATGAGTCACAGACCAAAGTTCCTACCCTCCTACCGAAGTTGGACTCCAATGAGTTCTTGACTAAAGAATCCAGTCATACCTGGTAACTGTAGTTACATGGAAGGCATCCTAAATTTGATTTCTTTCTTTTCTTTCTCTCTTCCTCTCTTTCTCTAATCCTCTCAAGATTTTTATTTATTTATGCATACAGGGGTATGCCTGAGATGCAGGGGCGGCAAGAGGATTCACAGGACATAGAGTGGGGAGCAGAACAGGCAGATCGACAAAGTACACAGCTGAGAGGAGAAGGAGACAGGAGAGGTGTGCTACGCCATATGGGTCACCTTGGGGGCGGGGATCGAACTTGCACTGAAGTGGCCATTGCTTGGCTTTGTTGTGTAGAGCTCCAACCCTTTGCGATACCAGGGAGGGACCCTAAGCTTGATTTCTAGTTGAGTTTGTTTCCAAACCATTGGTTGAGATTCATTTCCTCCTGTCTGACACCAACTTTGTGGGTTATAGAACCCTGCTTCAGGAATGTTTTGCATTAAAGGAAAACAAACAGTGTTAGGTG